AATTTAGATTATTTATTCAAATATTTTTAACTACTTTTTAAGATTATATTTTTAAAATTCGATGATATAATTAATTATGTCGTATATTTCACACATTTTATGATATGTATTTTTATAATCAAACATATTTTTTCATCTATATTTTTCTTAAATATAAATTATTGTTTTCAAAAAATATTCTAAAATATATAACTAATATTAAATCTGTTTGCATATGTTTAATTTCGAATTTAATTGTCCATTTTTTATGGTAACAAAATTAAAATGATTTCCATAAATACAGATAGTTTTTGTTTTTTATTTTTTATTTATTTAATTTATTTTTTTGCTGTCTTTTAGTGTGTTTGGCTATAGGTTTGAAATTGTATATTTTGTAATATATTTTTTTCAAGTTTGTTTGGCTACAAAGACAAATAATGATCCCCAATTAATACTATAGATACTATGTATTATATATATTTATATATATATATATATATATATATATATATATATATAAGAAATATCCTTAGTTTTTTTGACAAACATATTTCCAAAGATTTCGAACAATACTAACTGAACTGTTTGTCAATTTTAATGTTCGAAAATATTAATAGAACAATTTAATGAGATAATCAAAAAAAAAATTTCTACCTTTTATTTATCTCTTATTCTTAGAAGTGCAAATGTAAAAGCGAATAGCCTGGCACGTGCGTGCGCTTCCGCATTCGGTTAACCTTGTTAACAATTGTTCCCCTAATTGGCTTGTTTGAGCTAATCTATATAAGTTTGATGTTGACAAGAAAAAAAGAGATAATCAATAAAAAAAATTATCATTAATATTAAGAAAATATTCTTTATAATCATCATATGTATATGTTTTGTTTTTATATTACCCGCAAGATAATTCAAAATTTCTATGTTAAAAATGCTTCAATATAAGAATTTTTTTTTTTTAAGATAAAAATATTAAAAAAAAAAACATGTAACAGAAAAGATAAGGCATGAATGGATCATATGTTATTACCATATTATTGGTCCACGAAAAAAATATCAAAAATTCAAAATAGAGTTTCTGTTGTGTTGTTTTTTATAATCAGAGAGAACAAATTTATTTTAAGGGCAAACAAAACAAAAAATAGTGAGAGGTGTAACTTATCAAGGTATCAAAATGGGCTGCGTTGGTCTTGTGAATTTAACAAGTATCAATCCACATCGGCTTGTGCTCACAAACAAAATCTACAACTCAAGAAGACCATCATCATCCATGGCTGCGATTAGAGCAGAGTCTATGGCTACTGAGAAACTAGGCATCACCGTTGAGAAGAACCCACCTGAGTCCAAACTCACCCAACTTGGTGTTCGTAATTGGCCCAAGTACATACCCTTCTTATCTCCATTCAATTCCATCAATTGATTCATGTATATATCAATCAGAAAGTTTTAGTCTTTTACTTGCCCTGAGAAGAAAAGCCTTAAGCGTTGTTTTGTTGCTGCTTCTAAATTAGTCCTAGTTTCTAGTTTTGTGGGTGTATTTCACAATCTTTACATTAGTTGATGAGTCTGATAATGAAAGGATTAGTCTTTTTTGTTGCCCGGAGAAGAAAGCCTCTAGCTTTGTTTGTTTTTGTTGGATTCAATCTCCATGATTGTGTCATATGTTGAAGTTAGATCGGTAGAGTCTCTGAAAGTGTCAATTTTTATGGCATTGAGTCATATGCAATAGCTCTGGTCTATCTTCAGATTCATCAGTATCCATCAGTTGATGAGTCTGATATTGAAAGAATTAGATTTTTCTGTTGCCCAGAGAAGAAAGCCTCTAGCTTTGTTTGTTTTTGTCGAGTTCAGTCTCCATGATTGTGACATATGTTGAAGTTAGATAGGTACAGTTTCTAAAAGTTTCAATTTTTATGGCTTAGAGTCATTTGCAATTGTGGTCTATCTTCAGATTCATCAATTGATCCATCTGAAATTGAAAGTTGAAACCTTTTTCTTGCCCGGATAAGAAAGTCTCTAGCTTTTTCTTTGTTGTTGTTGTCTCTCTACTGTAATGTAATAAGTAGAAGCTCAGAGAGGTACTGTTTCTCAGTGTTGAGTTTTTTCATTGCACAGGTGGGGTTGTCCTCCAAGCAAGTTTCCATGGACTTACAGTGCTAAGGAGACTTGTTATTTGCTAGAGGGGAAAGTGAAAGTGTATCCTGAGGGATCAGAAGAAGGTGTAGAGATAGAAGCAGGTGACTTTGTTGTTTTCCCTAAAGGAATGAGTTGCACTTGGGATGTCTCTGTTGCTGTTGATAAACACTACCAATTCGAGTGAATGGCTCTCTCAATCTCTGCTCTGCATATTCGTGTATTCGATAAGACTTGACAAATCCTTTTATGTTGATGGATATATACTTAGTGTTGTCTGTCACATACATATATCAGTCTATGCGTTTTCGGGATCTGTTTGCTTCGATATCAACAGAAAATTCCGCGTTATCCCGCTGCTCTTGCTTCCTGCTCAATCCTCGTCAATCAAAATTAAGGTTGGAGTCTCAAAGAAGGATCATAGGTTTAACTGTATTGGTATGAGACTGCTTGGTGTACTATTGAGAGTACTACACACTGTAAATGACATGTATGAGAGATTTAAGTACTTCGTAGGTTTATTCAGTATGAATCTTATAGCTCATTATTAAGAGTAAGAACGAGTAACTTAATATGGTGTTAATGATATGGTTTTAGTTTTACTACTAGTTAGCATTATTGAAATCTAAAACCTTTCTTTACCATGGTTAGGGTCTCAAAATGATGTTTGGAGTCATTATCAAATAATAAAGGGGAATTGTCAAAAATATCACTAAAAACCATTATAAGTTTTATTTTTTCAAAAATACAGCTAAAATATATTTTCTTCCAAAGTTTTCGGAATATTTAAAACTAATTTTTAAATCGTAAACACTAAACCTTACCCCTAAAACCTATATTCTAATTAAAATAATCGAGCCATACATATGAAAAATTTCTACACCTTCAAAAATCAACTTTTTGTGTCTATGGTATTTGTGGAAAAATAAAATAAATTGTGGTATTTTTGTAAAAAAAAAAACTTAAAATATGCTAAATTTTCTCAATAATCAATCTATGAGATTAATATCTTTAACTATATATTTTAATTAGAAAGTAACTAAACCACAAAGTAAATAAATGATTGCACTATGTTTCTATTGACAAAACAACCATCGTTAGCTTTTAGAGAATCTTATATTTAGACTATTGATTCACACCTCAAATTTGGTCGACTGTTTTATTTTATGTGAAAAATTTAATAGTAAAGATCCCTCAAGCCGTGAGAGAGTTTGTTCATGGTCGATATACTGTATATATAAAAAAAATTAATAACTAAGAGATTCTGAGCCAAAACCCATATATTTCCGCAGACCCGAAACTAGAACATGTTATATAGTCTCGTTCCAAACGGCACCTGAACCGGTGACTTTTACACAAATTAAATCTACTTTTTTTGCAATTCGTATACACAAACACTGGAGGTCAACTCCTTACAACAACTGAAATACCAACGTGGAATAAAACTTCTATAAACTAGGAATTAAGGAAAAGTGCTATATATCCACACTCTTTTTGGAACAAACGGACCAAGTCTGATATAGACCAAGTCCTAAACATACTTGGGGATTATTATGTTCACAAAACACGTTTTGGACCAAAGTTGTGATATGTCTATAAGACAGAATGTCCAAAGATATATTCACAAATGAGGCTATTACAACATATATACTGAGAATACAAGTGAGACTAGGTTATTATGAAAGACTCATCTATCCTTTCCATATTCATCACCTACATGCCCCCTCAAGCTGGAGGAACTTTGGTGATTCCAAGCTTGGACACAAAATCTCGAAATCGTGGACCAGACAGCGGCTTTGTCAGAGGGTCAGCTAGCTGATCTCGAGTCGAAACATGTGCTACCCGCAAGATACCAGCCTGGACATTATCACGAATGAAATGATAGTCCAAGGCAAGATGTTTCATACGTGAATGAAATATCGGATTAGCAGCCAAGTGTGTAGCACCGAGATTGTCACAATATATGACCGGAGCTGTAGGCAAGGTGAGACCAAGCTCAGCAAGAAGAGAAGTGATCCATCGCATCTCGGAAGCCGCATTCGCGACAGCCCGATATTCAGCTTCGGTGGATGAGCGTGCGACGCCTTTTTGCTTTTTGGAAGACCAAGATATCGGACTGCCGCCAAGGTAAATAATATAGGCGTTTGTGGACACAAAATCATCGGTGTCACCAGCCCAATCCGCATCGGAGTATCCATAAAGAGGGCTGGACACCGCAGTTACCGAGAGTGGTGTGTTCACCCGAATGAATATACCATGAGTTTGTGTTCCAACCAAATAGCGAAGAACGCGTTTTACCGCAACCCAATGCTCATCGGTGGGACTATGCATAAACTGAGAGAGGCGATTAACAGCAAACGCAATGTCCGGGCGCGTGAAGGAGAGATACTGAAGTGCGCCGAGAACAGCTCGATATTCACGTGCATCATCGAGTTTCTTACCAAGACGGAGAGACAATTTAGGAGTAGGCGAAATGGGAGTGAGCACGGGCTTAGCGTGAAGCATTCTTGTCCGTGTGAGAAGATCAACAATATATTTCTGTTGGCGTAAGTGAAGACCCGCAGGAGTACGAGTCGCCTCAATACCAAGGAAATATTTCAGTGCTCCAAGATCCTTGAGCGAGAAACGAGCTGCAATGGAGGCGACAATGTCACTGAGAAGCGCCGTGCTGCTCCCTGTTATTAGCATGTCATCGACATAAACTAGTATGTAAACAATGTCATGACCGTGGCGTTTAATAAAGAGAGATGTGTCCGCCACCGAG